ATAAGTGTGTGTTAAAGCAGTACATGCACCTCAGAAAAGGTTTAGGAAATAATTTAGTTTTCAAAAAAAGCCCCACCCTGCTAAAATCCCTGAGAACACCAACCCAGAGCAATTTTTGTCTGTGGCAGGGGATTGCTGTATCTTATATTTCCTACCCCATGGTTTGGGGATGTGCAGGTGGAACTCCAGATGCTGATGGGCTTGGTGGCATAAGAGTGTGCTTTGAGACAGCGTGTTTATAGCTCTTTTATTGATACAATCGAGTAGTGACCAGGGAAAACACCAGGATGTTTTCCTGGCATCCCATTAAAAAAGAAAAGAGAAGGGCACCTGCATTTCAGAGATCACTGGCACAGCTTTGGTCATCCTAATGCTGCAAAAGACAACTTTTTTGAGGAGCACAGCTGGTGAGAGCATGAGGAGCAGGTCCCAGGCTCATTTACAGCCTGTGGCTGCCAGTGAGTCCCCAGCAGACCTGAGGGTCGGAGCCAAACACAGAAAAGGCAGAGGTGCAAAGGGTTTGGCTTCCAGGCTGCTGCAGCCTCCTCCTCACACCCAAACCTGTGTTTTACTGGTGTGTCCTGGTCCAGAGGCTTCACTGCCTTTCTTGGCTATCAAGGTTTCATAGCCAAGTCCTCAGTGCAGGAGATCAGGAAATGTGACTTAGTCTCAGGTGGTTCTGCCAGGTGTAAAAAAAAATTAAGAGCTGTGTGTTAGAAGAACATGGGAGGCAAAATCAGAGAATGAAGGCTTGGCTCCAGGGGAGTCAAAGGGATGCAGATATTTGTGCTTGTCAGAGTTTTTTTCATGGCAGCAGTAATTGTTGATATTTATTTTTTTCTCACTTCAGTGGAACAGTGTTTGTTAATAAATCTAATAATAAAACATACACAACAATTTCCAGATTTGCCAATTTTCTTTTCTTCAATAAACTGAGTATGAAAAAAAAAAAAAGGAATTTTATTTTCTGCTTTGTTTTGTTTTGTTTTTCCTCCCTGTAAGAATAGAAGACCTGGGGTAAAATTATGGAACCTGTAAGGAGCACCTCCAAGAGTGACTTTTCCTGGCCAGGAGAGCTCAACTATAGTTTACACAACTTGCATTGTGAGCTGCAACATTTATTGCAAATACACCAATATAAAAAACAAAACAACACCCCAACTCTGCTAGAACTGACTCACAGATGGACAAATTTGTTATTGTTTTCATGATCTTTTGCAATGTGTTTGCAGGTTTCCACAGCCTTGTTTAAATTCAAGCAAGGACCTTTTTGCACCAACTTTGCAGGATTTAATTTGTGAGTTGTACATTTAATTCTCCACAGCAGATGGTGATGTGTGGGTGTACTGCTGTATATTTGCAACAGATTCCTTATCTTACAAAATTAATTGTCTCATGTGCTGATTTAAAATCAGAATTGTATTGTTTGTAAAAAGCTAATTCTTGCATATCATTTTGTTGGGACCTGTGCAATTCCAACAAAATGCAAGGGAAGAAAAGTCTAAGTGCTGCTTTAAAATGGATTGTGGCAACTCTAGTCAGTCCCGATGCTCAGACTGAGGATTCAATGACTGTGTGAAGTCACTAATGAAAATTTTGTATTTTGCAACTGCCAGGTTGCCTCGACATTGCTTGAAAAGGCTTCTGGGGCAGTTCAGTGACACCCACAGTGAAACCCCAGCACAGCCAAGGCCACCAAACTGAACCCCTTCTCCTTTGGCAGGGCTTTTTTCCTTAGAAGGGATTTATTTGTAAATAATTGCTCTCTCAATGGCATTGCTTATGTTAATTTTCAGAGTTTAGGGGACTTCTGTTTCCTCTAATTTGGTAAAACTCTTGTTTATCATTATGGAACACCCGGGCTCTGGCCATGCAGCATCTCAGGCTCCTGCCTGGGTCTTGGAGGACAAAGAGAACCTTGGAGTTCTCTTTGGAGCATTTTGAGTTTGGAGCATTCCAGTGGAGGTCAGGCACTGCCAGACTCCCCAGCCCCACGGCACTGCCTGCTCGGGCAACCTTGGGTGGCACCCAAATTGTAGCTTTGTCTAGGACAGGGTCACACTGGTGGCCTTGGAAAGGGGGGAACCCAGGGCCTGAATGGTTGTGGTGTTAAGCAGGTGTTCAGGATGGACAAAATAAGGCCAGAGGTGGTCATTCACCTGCTCCTGAGGGATGGCTACTGGGCCACTGAGGCTGGCTTACCAGAAATGGAATTTGGGGAATTTGGTTATTTTAAGTGAGGGACTGATGCAGTGGGTGCTGTGGGCCAGGCAAGAGAACGACCTGCAGGGGACCCTGTGCCATGGGGTGGATGACAGAGAAGTAAATCCTGTCCCATCTGTCCTTCAGACACAGGAGCAAGGCTGGGCTCACCCCAAGGATCAGCCAGTGGCAGGATGATGAGGATGTCACACCTGACAAGGGCCTGGTGGTCTCAGCTGCATGAGGCTGGCGGCTTGGCTGAAGGGCTTGGGGACAAGACACGTGTGTTTGGTGATGAAAAAAAACTTCTAGACTTGTTGGCAGAGCAATGCTCCACCTAGCACAGGGGTCTGCTTGCTCTCTGGGAGAGGGAATATGAACCTGCTTCAGATTGTGTTTGCCTATAAGCAGCAGTAGCTGTGTCTCACTTGCTGGCAGCTCCAAACCCTAATGATGTGAGACGGGAGGTTTATTGTGGAACAAACAGAATAAAGGTTTTGGGATTTAATTTTCTGCTACTGCACAAGAAAAAAATATTTCAGCTCTGTAACATTTAAAATCTCAATGAAATTTAAGATAAAATATTTTAAAATATGCTGGACTGGCATTTAAAAATATCAGTGATACCTTAGGAATGTGGCAAGCAAAACTTCCAACTGTGTCTGAAAAGCAGCTGTTGCGTGTGTGTGTGTATCCATCTTCCCAGTAATTTCTATGTGTGTAGAAAGTATTTCAAAAAATTGCTAATTTGGAAGAATCAATCTGATTTGTCTTTGACTGTGGGCGAGTTAAATCAGGGTGCCTATGTACGACCCCCTCCTTTGGGGCCCTTTTCTTCCTAACAGCCCTTTCTAAAGCTCAGCTCTGAAAGATTTACAGGAACAGGCTTCTTAAGACACAGGTTTTGTGGTTATGGGAGGTAGAAACAATTCAAGGTCGGTGACTCTTCAGAGTTTCTGTTCTCCCGATCACCCTGGTGCTGTACTGCACATGATCCCACTGGAACATCTTGAGCACACCAGTGGCACACCGTGGTTTTTGGGGAGGCCTCAGAAGCACCTCTTGCACCAGCACCACCATTCCCCTGGGTGCTGAAGGTAACCCCAAAGTACCTGGGGTGAAAGCACTGTCCTGAGCATGGGGACAGGGGCTGCCCTGCAGCAGTGCCCCGCTGCAGCATCCCACAGGATTTGTGTCTTTGTGTGTGGTTGGTGCCTTGTTTTTCCCTCCTGCAGCAGTCCCAGTTTGTGCCCAGGTGATTTGTCCCCTTGTGAGCTACTGAGGCTCAGCTGGATTGGCTTCATCCCATCTCCTGGGTTTAGGAAGTCAGGTATTTTTAGAAGAGAGATACTGTATTAGTCTGAGATGTCAGAGCTTTCATGAAGTTATGCTGGATTTGATCTCCTTTCATTTTGCTCTGTACGCACAATGAATTACTTCTGTGCAGAGAGCTCAGTCTGCAAGATCTCCAGGGCAGGGAGCAAATTTTTACTGTCACCACACTCTGACCTGGCTTTACCTCATCTCTCTGTAGCCATGTAAGCGAGATGTGCAAGGTAACAGCCTTGCCTGGCTTCTGGTGATGGAGAAAGGCTTCCCTGGAACAGCTCTGGCTGTGCCTCTCCTCGGTTACCCCGAGTACCCAGGCAGCCGCCTCTGCCTGATGCATCCAGACCCCCCTACCCACCCTTCCCACTGGAAAGGAGGAGCACCAGGGTACCTGTGTGTCTGGCTGCTGCACGTTCAGGGGCACCAGGAAAGCTGAAGGGGCCCAGTATGAATTTAAGGGTCACTCACTGCTCCCCTTGGCTCTGTCAGCCTTCATTTCCCAACACACACTCTCCTCGCAGTGCATTCCAAGCCCAGCTCCGTGTCTAAGGTAAGCTGAAGTGGAACACAAAGTGAATGCACTTGAAACACCCTCCCCCAGGTGATTTTCCATTTATGCAGCAGGCTCACTAATTGCAGAAAGAGTGATTACCCTTTCAAGAAGGAAATATAAACCTTGATTACTTTGAATGTGTGTTAGTGAAATGTGGTTCTGATCCCAGCTGGGCAGAAACTGTGTTTCAGTAAAACTTTCTGAAAATGCTCCCATAGGATCAGCATGGGGAACATGTCTGTGACTTATCCTGTTCCCATTTGTGATACTCTCAAAAGGGGAACCGAATTTTGCATCCCTAAAAGCTGGCAGAGTCCTTTCTCTTGTGTTACTGGTGTGCTTCAGCTCACGGGGGCTCACCAAGCTGCTGAATGGAGAAACAGGTACCTTATGAAATATGAGGACAAGGAGCCAACCTTTCAGTGGAAATGGGGAGATAATATGAATAAAAACTGGCCCCAATGGCAATTGTGTTTTGTCTTAAGAGCACCCAGACCATACAATGATTTTGGTTTCACTACTTTCTTTAGAAAGGACAGCAGAAAAACTAGGTGACAGCCCTAAGAAATGCTATAAAACAGATAGAACTGTATCTATATAATAGTGCTGGTTATAAAATATCACTTTCTTAAATGGAAAGTGCAGGTTTTGTTGTTTTTGTTTTTTTTTAAATGGGCTGGTGCATGTTGTAAAAAAGTATATATATGTATATAATCAAAATATGTGTAAATACATATATATGTAGATGGAAAGATGATGTTTTTCAGAGACAAGTCTTTAAACAGACCAAATTAACCACTTCTGCTTTTTACTATGGCATGGTGAGGTGGATTTAAGGATGAATTAGGCAAGCTGTAAATTTAAGAACAAACTCATTCTGTGGCTTGAAATTAATTATTATGACCAACATGGTAACTTAATCTCACAAAAACACGAGTTTATTAATAGGTGAAGGAGCTGAAGAACCACACAGTCCATCCAGCCCTCTGATAGAGTTTCCTAATCTCAGTTACGAAATTCAATGCTGCAGTTTTACAAGGTACATATTCTCAATTAGTGAATGTTACAGAACATAAACATGAAGTGAATATTTGTATTAATGAGATTCAAACAAGTCAACTGAAAGAAGTATCAACTCTAGTTATAACACATGGTGAAAAGAATCAAATTTGGAATGTGATCATATATACTGTTGCACATCAGACAATATGTACACTGTTTCATATTGCATGACATTCATAGCATATTCATAGAAAAGTCAAACTAAATGATGGCTTAAAAACTGTTATTATCACTGAAATTTGCTCACTATGTTTTAAAGTGTTGATATTGACTGAGTTAATATTTTCATTGTGTAAAAATACTGTATATAGTAGAAACCCTTCAGCATCTTCCACATTCAAATAAATGAAAGTTACAGTTTGGTATTTGGTGTTCAACATCTTAACTTAAACGGCCGATTCTTTCTGGCCTTCGGAAGGAAAAACAAATCATGAATATGCTCAATCTGGTTTGACTAGAACGTTTCTCTCTTGAAGACCTTGCTTCTGGAATCAGAGACTAAACCTCTACCTCGGCTGAGGTGCGGCTGGGAATACTAAAACATCTGAACACACTTAAAAAGGTGGAAAGTCCATAGCCATTCTACACACTTTCATTTATTGTCTGGACAATTAAAGTACAAATAATTCAAACACAACAAGGTTATGAAAAAAACATTTACAATACTTTCCCTCAGAAATGATCTAAACTAGCAAGGTTAACATGAAGTCATTCATTATAACTAAAGTATACAACTGCCTGGTCCTAAGAAAGATTTTTTAAATTATTATTATTATTCAGATAGTAAAACACATCGTAGAGAAAAGATTCTGACATGCCTTCCCCACTAATGCTTAGCAAATGCATCAAAACTTTCCCAGCAAACTGCGCTCATTCATAGCAGATGATGTATAAAGGTTTCCCTGAACATTGAATGAGTGTTCCTTTAAACTAAAATCTAACATTGTTAAAGTAAAAAACTGATAAAATTATGATGCAGCCTTTGCTTTTAGTTATTTGTCTACTACAAAAGTTTGCCTCTTCAGTGTGAAAAAACAATACTTAGTCTACATGCAGTTAGTGGGTATAGCATGGAAAAAATGCACAAAATAAGCACAAGTTATAAATAACCATAACGTTTTATTACCATTAAGACTAAACTTGTATTGAAAAGATTTTATATAACAAGACAAGAAAAGCAATAGCAAATTTAACTATCAACTAGATTATGCATAGCGAGTAACTGTTTCTAGTACTCAGGGAAGAGCATGACCCTTTTTTGTTTTAAATATATAACCGTACAAAGCACAAACATACTAAAATGATCAGTGCACTGGACATGGGAGAGCACCCCCTCAGTCATTTTGTTCCCTTAGCTCTGTTTTCCCCAATCTGAATTACATTAAAATAAAGACCCAGTTGTTTTCTTTTCTACTGTGCAGTAAGAAAAAATATTCACAACAAACATGACAATATATCAAACAATATTTCTACACAAGTTACCTTGATACCTCTGTCACTTAAGTATCATAAGAAAACATTTTAAGACATATACAAACAAAACTAGCAAAGTGTTACAACTTATAATAAATTAACCAAAAGAAAAAATAACTTTATATATATATATATTTATATTATATATACACATACACACACAACAAAATGACACAATAATATGCTTCTTCCCATAGTTTAAGTAAACAAATAAGTAGACTAGCCAAACTAGCTATATTTGATTTTGGCCATATGCATCACATCGGCAATTAAATAAATAAGTGTTTCAAGCAACATAAACAGTGTTCCAAATGTGCCAACACAGCCCAATTATATTAGCTTGGGCTATAAAGTGAATTTGAAAATTCTTAACAAATTTAAAGCAAATGTATTTTTTTCTAAACACATTACATTTAACTATGATACTAAGATATGTAAATAATTTTGTAGCACCTACTGCTCAAACCAAGGAAGTTTTTGATCAAAAAATTAATTTTTTTAACTTTTGTTCTGCTGATATCCCATACTGATGACTTAAAGAAAAACCGTCTTGCAACTCATCTCCTTGCTTTTGGGTTTTGACTGTGGGTAACTGCGTGCCTGGGAAGAACACTCTCCCGTACTGTATTTAATATTTTTATTACATGCTATGAAAAGATACGAAGATCATCTGTTTGTAGCCCATCCTTCAAAAAACAATCTACTAATCCAGTTTAAAACACACATCTTGATCTCTAAAAAGTTACCAGTGCAGTATGAACATGACAAAGTTGTCAATTTCCCCTAAATTAGCCAGTCAAAATATTTTTTCTCAAATCCAGATTCTCTTGTAAAAATTCTTTATATTTTATAAAAATAGATTTTTCTTGAAACCCATTTTCAGCAAAGAGACCACCTCTTTGGCAACATTGTTAATGTTATTTAAATTGTTATGTCATCAGGTATCCCCCGTTACCCCATTCCCTAACAGAAGACTGTTTAGTTCACATGATACAAAAGAAAAAAGGAAAAATAAAAAAAGTTGCAAAATTATGTTCTTCTTTTTGCAATTTTTATTGTTCCTCTTTAATTTGTGTGGGGGGTTTACCAATCTGATTCAATCAATGTTTTGAAAAAACAGAAAAGAAAACAAAAATCTTTTTTTCTCGCTTTTAATCCCATTAGTTCGTAAAAATTGTTTTTTGTTTTATTATTTTTTCAAATGAGTGAATGGTCATCTTAAAAAGACCCACCTTCAAGGAAGGTAGTAAAACTAGCTGGCCGGGTAAAAATCCCTGCACATTGTTATCTATGTATATTATATTCAACAACGACAGCTATGAAAGAACATTCAATGCATCAAAGGTTTTTTTTTTTTTTCTAAGCATTATAAAATCCTTTCCTGTTCCTCACAGGATATCCAATGTTTTAATACTTAGGCAACACTGGCTTATAAAGTCCATGGTTGAATATAAGCCTTGAAGAGTTTTTTTTTTGTTTTGTTTTGTTCGTATATATATTTATATATATATATTTTAGTAAGTAAGGATATGAAATTCAGGATTTGTGGGTTTTATTGGTTTTAAAGGAAACTTGCAATACTCTGTCTCCTAAACGGTATCCATTAAGGCTGGCAATCGCCATGGCAGCTTCGTCGTAGTTGGTCATGGTGACAAAGCCAAATCCCTTGCACTTGTTGGTGTTGAAATCACGGATCACCTTGACATTATTGACCGCTCCAAAGGGACCAAACAACTGCCACAGCACGCTCTCATCCGAGTCGGGAGACAAGTTGTAGACAAAGATGCACCATCCAGTCCCGGTGTGACCAGGGATATTCATTCCCACCAGGCTCGTCATACCATCAATTGTGATCGGAGAAAACCTACCGAGCAAAAAGAGGGGTCTATTCTAAATATATCTCTTGGCACGAGCTATAAGGGTCCAAGACTTTAAAGTAAATAAGCCAATGGTACTGAAGGTTCTGGATCCTGTCCCTGGAAGATGACCACAGAGCCACCCTTGCTCTCTAACTCCCGCTGAAGCGGAGGGGAGCTGTACTAAATAAAATTGCCAAATCTGGCCATAAATGCATCTGCCTCCTAGGATAAGCCCTGCTTGGATGTGTACAAAGACCTCAGAAAAGAAATGCTTGAGGACAGTCTGAGTCAGAGAGGGCCTGCACACGCTGTGATAAACAACAGCTCGTGGAAAAAGGGCCTGTAGAAATTTGCCACTTATTCCCAGCACTGATGTAAGTTTCAGGACAACGAAGATCTAATGCTTTATCTCCTACTAGTCTGCAGTGAAAAAACCCAAGCAAACTTCAAGACCTATTTTAAAGATTAATAAGAAACGCCTTTGTCAGGATTCAGCTGTAACGGTAGCTTCTTCAGCTAAAAATACTATTAGAGAGATGTCTCTAAGTGGTAGATTTTATTTCTCCTCCTAACATGGTCCTTAATTGACACACACTGGGGGAAAAAATTCAGGTAACAAGAAATCCTAAAGCCAGCTACATATCAAAGAAGGTTTATGCAGCAATTGTAGAGTAAGTAGAACAAATATAATTAATGAGCAGATCAACTGATACCTTCATACTGTGAGGCTTCATTTCCATGACAGGCTTTAGATTCTTCAAGAAGTCAATGCAGAGACTAACCCCCAGAGTTCAATAGAGCACCCTACTGTTTCTTTCTTGTTGTCCTTTGGGACTTCACCTCCAATATCCGAAGAGAGCAGATAAAGCCAGGTGTTTATGAACACAGATCCATCACGGGGTAACAAAGGCTGGGCAGGATCTATGGAGATCATCTGATCAGCCTCCTGCTCCAAGCAAGTAGCTTCTCAAATGAGATCTGCTGCTCATGGCCCTGCAGAGGGAAGCTCAGGAAATCTCCAAGGACATGAACTCTGCTCCTGCAGCCCCTGCTGCAGGACTCCATCCTCACTGCGAATGAGTTTCCCTTATCCTCAAGTGGAATTTCCCCTGCTGCAGCCTGTCACTGCTGACTCTTGTCCTCCTGCGTTTGACCTCTGCAAAAAGCTTGGCTTTCACCTTCCTTCTAAGGCCCCTTGTAGACAGCTGAAGGCAGCAGTCAGGGGCTAAACTCTACATCTGCCTTTCCCGAATTTCAGCGTGTTCCTGCAGCTTTCCAAGGTCTCCCCAGTGGCAGCCATGGCCAGCAGCAGTGACAGCCCCTGCTCCTCACCAATTTAGTGTCACCCGCTAATGCGGGAGGGCGCAGAGCAGCCCATGACTCAGGTTATTAATGAAGATGTTAAGCAGTATCAGCCCTCAGGATCAACATAATTTTCCTTTCATCAGTGTGGAAAAAAAATTGACGTGCTTTCTGAAGCTACACTTTGGGATATGTTTTAAAATAACAACTGCACAGAGGAAATGTCTTAAAAATCCAGTTTCACGTGTACCTTCAATATGATGAGTTTTAATGCCAGAACAGAAAAATAATTCCTCAGGATTTTCTGAGCCATGATTGAGGGAGCAGAGGGAGGGACTCTCTTGCTGAGCAAGCTCTTGTGCTCTCCAAAACTTTTTACACTTGTAATAATTTCCACACACGTTTAGCGATCTGCACAATATTATGCAGTGTATATTAAATAACCATAAAGGAAACTACACACTTGATGGTTGCTCACTGTTCTGTTGATGCCTGACAGCACTTTTTATGTATATTCAGGGAAAAAGAAGACACTTGGAATATAGATCTTTAGCTGAGGATCATCACAGGGGTGTAGCTATGCTATAAATGAGCAGTTCACAAATGCTCACAGCATCAGATCCTCAGGAAGGTTTGCAGACAGTTTATTAAAAATACATGGCAATTTTCCAACTCAACTTCACTTTTGCAAATCCTCATCTCAACACATTTTGGTTTCTCTCCTGCACAGTGAAACCAGTGACATTATCACAACAGTTCAGCACAGAAAGGCTGGACAAGGCCAATTTCTACTGCTCCTTCTACCACAGGTGGAAATAAGGATTGGAAATAAGGCACAGCCAGGGCTTGTACAAGCCAACAGCATCAGCTCATTTTGATGTCTGGAAGACAGGACTTCAAGCCCATCGCTGGCAAGTGCTAACTGTGTCAGTAACACACATAAGCCACCAAACAGTGCTTTTCTGGAATGTTTAAATTAATACAACACTATGGGATACACCATGCTCTAAGTAAGGACGATGTAAAACCTGTACAATGCAAAGCCGTGCATGTCACAGTGCGCTATAAGGCTTTGCATTTTAATGAAATGCTGCACTGATGTAAAGGGTTAAAGTTTCCTACAGTTCACTGGAGAGCAGCTTTTCCCTGGAAACCTTTAGGAGCGATGCAGCTTTCAACTATTTATGTGCCATGAGCACAGCAGCTGCTGTAAATCCAACAAAACATGCACGAAACCGGTGCAAGTGTATTGACACAAATACAAGATCACCTATCGCATAAGGAGCTTTGCTACTACCAAGTGATCTGAAATTAGCCTCAATAAAACCTTTTTTCCACGTCAGCATGTCTCATTTTCCATCAGCACCACACAGTTAGCACAGGGAGAGCCAATCTCCTGTTCCTCAGACAGCTTCAGAAATTATCAGTGCGGTATTTTTTTGTGACCCTGCACCTACAGATTCAGGTTTTGCTAGTGCAGGTACAATTGTCAAGGTTTGCTGAGAGGAGATAAGAACTAATTTAAGATGCCTGCAAAGTGACTTTAAACACTGCTGTGTTTTTAGAGTAACACTGCAGACAATGTTGAGAAAGCAGATGTATAACCTATGAAGGCAGGTAATTTTCCTGCTCTTTTCCTCTGTTCAGTCTAAGCCTATCCTGCACCACACGCCAGCTCAATTCCAGGGAAGGAGCAGCAGCGGCCAAAACCCAGGGAAATCTCCCAGAACAAACCCATCCTTCTGACACTGACTTGCACCTGGACAGACACTCAGCTGGGAGTTTTACCATGTTTCTGACAAGATATCAAGGAACAAGTAAGGTGGGAGAGCACAGGAGAAGTGATGTGTGATAAAATCAGGCGGGGGGTTCTCACTCACTATATCCCCATCACCACACTAAGGATATCCCGACATAACCATGAACACCAGCACCGGTGCTTCTGGGGAGAAGCTCTGTTTTGACCTTCCTCTTGTGAGTACTCAAGATTTCAGATCTGTACTGAGTTACTGAGGAGTTAAATCCCACCTTACTGTCTGCTACTTGCTAGTGTAAAGATATACTTACCATACCTTTTTAGAGGATGAGCTTCAAAAAAAAGCTCAAGTAATTTTCAAGTGTGGTGAGTAGACCATTTCAGAAGATTAAGTAGTACTCTGTCATCTTAATCTGGACATCTTAGGGTAACATCAGGAATAAGACTACACCTTTGTTTTGCTGCAAGGGTTGCTTATGCTGATGTTGCCATTAAAAGAAACACTAACAACACATCTCATTTTAGCTACCAAACATACTCATGGAACAGCAGAAATGTTGACAGATCAGCTGAGCTTTCACACATGCGTGCACATACAAACACACAGCTACGTTAAACAAACAAAAAATAAATTTCAAGGACTGAAAAAAAAATTCAAAGTATTAAACCTGTAACAAAAGAAACTTCGGGCTGATTGAGGTGCACACAGCTGTATTTTCAAGTCAAACTTACGATGGCAGAGTGGCAGAAAGGTGATCTTAACTGTGCGAGATAACAGCAGCCTAATTCTGATTTTTGACTTAAATTTTCCATTATCAGATCAGAGATTTGTTAAAAACTCAAGTTAATAGTTTTGATTCTGGAAAAAGCACCACTCAGCAGACCAACTGCAATTTCAATGCTTGTAGCTGTGGCACCTAAACCATTTGAGAAGCCCACCTGTAAACAAAAAAAGGTTGAAAAACCCCACAGAACTTGCGCGTGAGGCCTTTAAAGTAACAAAACCAACTGAAGTCCAAACTTAAAAAGAATTTGACATGCTGGTGGAAGAAAAGAAGGGATAAAAAAAATAAAGTTAGTGAATTAAAAAAAAATAAATTGTAGCACCAATCTGTGCCAACACGGACATCTGGCAATCTGTGGAATTCTAATTACCTCTTTACGCCATAGGCCATATTAAGCAAATTGTCCAGCCTGAAAAGAGAAGGAGGGTCTTTGGGTTAATGTCTCACAGATGGCAAGATCGCTCAATGGAACTATTATTAATAGTGTTCCATTTTCAAAGAAGAAACGTTCAACAAGTTTCCCACACATCTAAGGAGCCTAACAACTCCCGGCCTGCTTTGTTAAGTCTGAGGTTGTGCTAAAATTTCCACCAGAGCATTTAAAAGCCTTTTTTAAAGTTGTCTACAGTCTTAGAGAAAAGCTTAACCTTCAGAGCCTGGTTTTTAAAAATACACTTAGGGTTTGTCTTTTTGTTTTTTATAATTCAACTTTTTTTTGGTAAATCAACTGCTCACCTTTATTTCCAAGTTAACTGCAAATATAAGTGTAGAGACTAAAATTGCTGGAACTGGAAAAATTCTTGATTATCTGCTTTAATATAACACATTCTCTCCATTTTATTATATATATTTAGTATTAATCCTTCATGACATGTCAATCCAAATTAACCTCCAAATTTTGCAGAATTTAATCATCTGCTTTCCATGGCAGCACAATAAAGTCCTTCTGTCCATGGAATGATTCAATGATAACCTCAATGGACACAGCTGCTTGCCAAAGACACAAAAACAAGTGTAAATTTAATGTATCCAATGACTGACTTTTTATGATCTTTAATTCATTAGCACTTTTCATCACTGACAAACTAAAATTACTTCTCAGTAATCCTCTAAAGCCAGTGTGCAACTCAGTTATGCAAATATGTCCAAGTTTTCTTTCTTGAGGCAGACTTTTTTATTTGAAAGCTGGGTTGCCTGAGAACTATTAAGTATAAATGTAATAGGAACATCACATATTGCGAACTCTGCCTTATGCATCAGATGGAAACAGTATATTCAAAATGCAAAGCATAAAACATCCCCAAAAGCATCTGAAGACTCACACCAAAGACTAATACAAGGGCTCTTTATACTAAGAGCAGATATCTCAGGCTAATAAATTTAATGATACTCCTGCTGACTGGGACAGACTCAGCTTTTTTCCTGCTACCAATCCACTGCCATTAACATCAAAGTCTAAGCTGCATCAAAACTGTAGTAATATAGCAGAAAATAAAAGCATTACCCAAAAAGAGAGAAAGAACAAGACAGTCACTGCTCATTTGATTACCAGTGTAACTCTGTTCTGTCCTCCCTTTTTCTGTGAGCCTTCATGAGATCTGATTGTACAGTACTTCAGCTGTTTTAGTAAATACAACATGACTACTTGCTGTCAGCAGATTTTCCTCCTCATTCTCCAGGAAAGAATATTTAATTTTACAAAGAAAATCAGGTCAGCCTACACAACTAAAGCATATTTTCCCGCACAACACCTGCCCCACATTGTCGTCGCTGGTGGAATTTCAGCTCTTTTCCAGGTAATTACCTGAATCTCTGAGCCTGGTGGTGAAGTGGTCCCGGGTAGCGTCTGTTGGGAGACTGATACAGCTGTGAAAGGAGTGCCTGGCTTGTTTTCTGGCTGGGGTTATTGGCAAACTTCACAGTAATTGGTTCTGTAGCACCACTAGGCTTCTGGCCATTTAGTCCCTTTATGGCTTCTTCTGCCTCTATTCTCTTATCAAAACGGATAAATCCCACACCTCGAGAAACCCCTGGGAAGTAAAAACATGTGAAGAGATGAATATTCGTAGGAACAGCCTCGTCTATGTAACAAACATGAACTGAATGCTGGGTTCGACTTGACACAATAAGTGGTTTGCAAATTAAGAGAAGTCCTGTAAAGAAAAATCCTCTTCCCAATCCGTAATCTCTCAAGTCAAGGCCCTTACCGCATCTAACAATGATTTTAAGTAAACAATATTCTGTATTTTGATAGTCCCAGCAGTTGTACCTCCAGTTACATTTATATGGAAACAGGTATCGCATTTTATACTAAAAGTGAAAAAAAAACCCCCAGCTGCAGACATTAGCAATTTTGCCACTTCCAGAAACACATGCACGTATCAAGAAAAGTTTTCTTTTAACCTGTGACTTGATCAACCAGAATCCGTGAGGTGATGATGCGCCCATATTGTGAGAATAACTGCTCTAATTCTTTCTGGGTCATGGTTTTGGGAAGGCCGCTGACATACAAGTTCGCATCCCGGATGGATGCTGAACTTGGACGGGCATATGACACCTAGGGAGAGAAAAGGAGAGCAGTGTTAGAGAGCTACAGCCACCCTTGGCATTTTGGACAGAAAATGTTCTGTTCTTTCACAAGACATAACCCTGCAGTTCAGACAGGACCTGTTCTGTAAAACCAGCAGAGCCAGGAAAGGCTGGAGGAACAAAGGAACAGCTACAGAGAACTTAAAACAGGCACAAAGGTTCTTGATGTGCAGTGATAAAATAACTTTTGTTCAGAGGTGGATTAATGTGCAACTTCCCACGTGTGGCTTTGTAAATTTGCCCCCATGGGTGTGGGGTGTGGATGATTTGCCGTAGCTGGCCTCGCACACTGAGGTCCCTGCATGTTTTTCGTTTTCCCCCTCCAAGTGTCTGAAACAGATCAGGTTATTTGTGGAGTGATCTTTTGTGCTCTCTCTCTTTGTGTTTGCATCCTGAGCTGGCAAGATCTGTTCTGGATGAACAGTAAAGTACTGGTGAAATTAGACTAAATGAACATCTGCTCAGGGAGCTGTAGACTGACACTCATTGTCAGATCTGCAATTTATCACAAGAAGTTCCCTTGCATTACAAAGCCCAGAACCAGACCATAAAATATTATGACCAAGCAAACAAGAAAATCTAGCTGTGGCACTGCATGTGTGCTGTTGGAAAATTACTAATTCAAGGCTCTTAACTGCTCTTCTACCTATGAATCAGATTTATAATTATAATAGGTGCATAAAAAGCCTTCTGCACTTTAAAAATAATATATACATTTAGAATAAACACATTTAACATCATAAAAATGCTTCCTAATGGCAAATATTCAGCAGAGATCATGAATTACTTTGCAGCACATCTGAAAAAGCCATGGAACCCAAGCTGAATACTCTGCACTTCATTTTGATTCATTTCAATATAAACAGATCAGTACTTTCCTGCATTATGTCTTAAAATGTGTCTAGGAAGGAAGTGGGGGGGTTCCCATCACGAATACAATACATTCAGCAATTGTCTTTCCCTCTTCCCTCAGCCTGAACACAGATGATGTCAAATGGATGTCTGTGTTTTATGTGTCAAAGTTGTCTTTATGCGCTCCACACCTAAAAATAGATGTTGACTCAACACAGAAAATTATGTTAATGACTAATATTTGCTTCCACAATCTTCTCTGCATAATAGCAGACAAACTCTAAAGATGCTAGATTTTAAGGTTTCTACCAATTTCTTTCTAACTTACACGTTTGTAACCTTTTAAATCTAACATTTACAGATAGGGCTGGAGAGAGGAAGTGGAAAATTCAGGGAAAGAAATATGAAATGGAAGTTAGATGAAACATTTGCATCAATGGAGGCGAGCTCAGGCACACAGCACAAAGGCTCAAGCAGACATGAGGAGCAGAGAAACCTTCAGCTGTTGAAAAGGAGAAGAATATTGGCGTAGAAATGATTTCGTGCCACAGCCCATAAGCTCCTGATGGGATGCAGCATTTCCATCATTTCCCTGCTGGTCCTGAGTGCCCCTCTGATGGATCCAGGACCACAACACCCATGGACAGCACCACGTGGCTTTTATGCAACAAAGCTTAACCCAGGCCCTTGGGGACACCAGGGATAAGAACATGGTGCTTTCACCTGCAGCTTGGTTTGGTGCTGGCGCATTTGGAAAAGCAGGCTCTCCTTCCCCACTCTGCAAATGCCTCACCTTGAGAGGGTACCGTGAGAGTTCAGGCACCTACAGTTTAACCTACTTTAGGAATAACAGTTTAAAAAACATTTAAGAGCCTCTCAGGGGTGAGGGTAGGGATCTTACCTATTCCTTAAAACTGAGAACAGCAAAATGAATAAAGTTCCTGGGAAAACAGCCAGGGGTTTCCTTTGGGTTTCTCACTCTGGCACATTCATTAACCAAATGCCAAGTTACAGGGAGGATGAAAAGTATTGGGATATGCAAAAACACTACTTCCCAGAGCAATGAGTGTCTGACATTTTATACATATATATATACACTTCCACCTAGAGAAAGCTCTCTGCTCTCGTGGGCCTTGCAGGCAGGCAGAGGAAGGAGAAGCTGCTCACACTCCCAACCCTCCACACACAGCACACGAGAACACCTATTGCTGCTCAGGTCTAGTTTTTATTTCCTCCCGCAATCAAACATTCAGGCTGCAGGGGAGCCTGAGCCAAAGAAAGAAGCTGCCAAAAGCAACTCAGCCGTCTTTAATATCAAGGAGAAAAGGTTGCGGAGCTGAATGGACTCAAGGCTAGTAATGTCAATTATTTATCTGCTTTTGAATCTTTTTCATCTTCCCTCTGAGGTCAGCCAATGACAAATCGATCGGTTAGAGTGTGCCATCCTGCTTTCAAGCTATTATTCAGTTAGTGCTGAGGACGGGATGTCTTCCTGTGTGTGAGCTATCAAAGGAAGAAATCGCCCACCCTGACCCTCCATCACACCAGAAGCTCCTTATGCTGTGCAAGTTAAAATGGGAGCAAAAAGCAGCTCCCATTTTATCACTGCAAACCGCAAAGCGCTGGGTGAGGACGCTGCATTAATTCTTTATATCCACATTTAAAAATGATTTTTTTTTTCCCTTCCTTTGCTCACGGCAGTGTTAGCACCCTGTAATGAAACAGAGCGTTGAAAGAAGAAAAGAGTATGGAAGCCTAGACACCACAAAGAATTCAAATAATGAGCTGGAGAACACCAAACTACTGCTTGACCCAGGCATTTCTCAGCATTAAAATGTTTGTCCGCTCGTACAATGGTTGAAGGTCGAACCACGGTGTTGGATTTCACTGCATAAGATCATTTAGGAGTTCTGCAGTCAAATTTGCAAGGAAGAAAATAAAATATTGTACAATTCATTTTATGGCTTGCTTGCCTCAGATGTTAGTTTCTATAAATACATATATAATAACTATGAAAAACATTTTACAGGACATTTCTCATCTGACATTGAGCATTAGCCTGTCTAAGGACTTCTCTTCATAATAAACACCCATCTCCAGAGGCTGCACCACTGCCTCCCAACACCACTGCAGCATCAGAAGGTCCAGCATTTCATATCTTCCATGGCAAAGCACATTTTTGTTCAGGTGCACAGAATATATCTCCAAATTCAAGTAATTATCTTCCCTATTGATTTTCTACCGTTTTCCCATATAGGAAACTTTTTCAAGAATTACTAACCTCGAGACTCTTCAGAACATAAATTGAAGCGGTCTGGCCTTTCCAAGCCAGAGCCCACAGCAAAGGCACCCAGAGGCATGAACGCATCCCATTTGTCTTATGGAACAAGCAACATTTGAACACTGACACTTAACCACTTCACTGCTGCTCCCTGTAAGAGCAGCCTTCAGCTCCTGTGCTAATCCTGGAATTCTCAAACAAAATCCATTTCTAGAAGCCTCCTTGTAAAATTTAACTGTGGTCTGCTCTGAGGAAGAACTGCATCATCCTTTCCTGGAATGATGCCAGCATTCTGTGCCTTTCCTGGCTCTGACCAGCAGAGTCACCCTGCCCTGGACACACCTGAGCAGGAACCAAGCAGCTCATTTTGCAGGTACCAACCTTCTCTGAGATGTATCTTGCTCTGCATCTACCGTTCCTCACCTGGAGAATGGGAAACCATGCAGGAGCCTGAATCAGGGCACAGCACAGGCACCCAAGGACCACCAAGCCAACCACCCTGGGCACCTGCAGTCCCTGGGACAACCTCTCCAGCCACAAGCAGCTGAGGTGCAGTCAGTGACTCCCTGGGAAGCTTTCAAAAAGTTGTGTAACATTCTAAAACATCAGGCTTCTTGGTGACCTTAATACAGACACTTTGCTTTGTCCTTTTGTGACACTCTAAGATACAGGATTTCTTACATGGTTTTTTGGGGTGAGTCACTTGGCTTTTTTCTGCCTCAAGTCCAGTTTAGAATGGGGACAACCCTTCCCTCATTTGCTGTCCTTTAGCCCACTGGTACGGACTGGAAGTGCTTTAACACAAGCACTCAAAAGCCTCACACAGGTAAATAAAGCACAGTCTCACTTGTTTAATGCACATCCAGAACTAGAAGTAAAATCTGCTTAGCACCAGTGAATGGGCTATGGCAGAAAGAAACATTTCCCCACAGCCACTTCCAGACCCTCAACTGTGTCCTAATTCTGTGCAAAACCAGATTTAAAACAACCTCCCGTGAAAGCTCTGTGCTTTGTCAAAACAATCAAACACAAAAGCCCTCTGGTCCAGAGGCTGAAGACCAGGATCTGGAATACTTTTCACATCTGATGCCTGCACTGCTCTGTCCTTTCTCTTCCCTAAGCCCTTGGCTGGGGGATGGGGGGAGTGACGATGCACTTTACTGTTGAGCAATTCAATGCCATTTTACAGAGATTAATTATAATTGCAGGTACAATGGTCTATCCCATCATTTCAGGAAAGACATCTATAGATAATAGCCTAGAAACACTCTTGGCTGTATCAAGAGCAAGGCTAAGAGAAATAATTGCTTTGGCTCTGTGGAATGAAAAGAACTCATTGGCAAAACTGAGGCAGGAAAAAAAGTAATCACAATTAAGAAAAGATGGATGGAATTAAGAGGCAGAGACCCCTCTGGTGCCTCCTGAACGCAGCAGAACCAAAGCTGAACCTTCCAATGCACCACTGAAAGGTCCTCCGAGCACCAGTATCATCGCAAGCACAATGGGTGGAGGAGGGTTTGTTAAAAGTCCAAAGGGTTACACTGACAGAGGGTCCTAAAGAGCAAAACGGGAATAAACTTAGTTGAGGCTTTCCAGGTCTGTGGCATCTTTGAATTACTTGTCCAAGACTTTGTCTTGGGAAGCAGCAGCCACAGCAGACGACCCCTCTGTGTGAGCTACCATCAAAGAGAACAAGTAGTTACTTCAATTTTAGAAGCAGCTATAAAATAGCTACATCCCAAATCTGCAGTTTGTGCCTGTAGTGTGAATTTTCAGGAGAGGGAAAAAAAGGGCACTGCACACAAGACACTAAAAAATGCAAATCCCTCCTTGCTGCAGTCAAATGTACTCAGCTACTCCCAGTGTCTTCCAACACCACAACCTTCCATTTCTTCCTTGCAGAGCATCCAAGCTCCTCCTGTGCCTTGCCCTGATGTCTCTGTACACCCTCTCCTTCCCAGCCAGCCTTGCACCACATGCCATGTGTTCCGTGGAGGCTGCAGGCAGTGCCCAGCAGGCTGGGTGGGTCTGTGCAAGAACAGGGTTGGAAAACACCGGCTTTTGGCCGAGTGCTGCACCAAGGGCACCCAACACCAGAGCTCTGCTACCATCACTATCAGCAACCAGAGCTTTCTGGCTGCAACCCAAATTGTGTTGGGCTTCCCCCACACCTTCCCAAGGAGTCCAGGATGGGGTGCAGGACATGCAGGTCTCTTTCTCAGCACTCCCTGCTGCAATTCCTCCTCCTGCCCTGTGCTTCCTGCGCCGCCTCCTCTGCCGAGCACGGCTGGAAGGCAATCTTTTTGACAAATGACTTTGTAGGACAGAGAAATCTGAGGCTGCTGTTATTTGGTTACCCTACAGTGACAGGATGGTTTGTAGTTTTGTGGACAATTACAAGAATTAACATGGACAGATTTAGAGCCCGAGTTTTGTGGAAATGGCTGGCATTTTGAAAAATGCCACAGAAACCAAGATCTTTCAGCAGTAATGTTACTACTTTATTTTCAGAAAAAGCAGGATTACTTCCTCCCACAGCCTTATTCTCTGTATTTTAAACTAGGACCATCCAGACCTATTGATCAAAACAGGGGACTAAAGCAGAAATACAGAATTCCATGCTATTTATTCAACTAAACTGAATATAAAACTAACTAGAAAAAGCCTCTGAGCACAGAGGAATCATCTTATCCATTTAGTATTTTACCATCAGATAGATATGATGGATTTAAAAACTGGAGGTTATCAAGGGCTCAGAGGACCCAGATTCCTTCTCCCCTCTCTGGGGCCATCTCCCTTTGCTCCAGCAATGTCACAGCATGTACCTGCTCCTGTGAGGGAAGGAAGGAGCAAACCTATTTCTCAGGCAACAGAGAAAAAGGAAGAGAGGGGTGCACAAGACTGCGCTTCAGGGGGTCACTGGCTCTTTTTAGATTTCAAACTTCCTTTCAAAACTATTCTGCCCTTGTTCCAGTGAAGCCAGGTCACCTGAATCCCCAAGTAAATTGTAAAACACTTCCTTCGCATCCTTTCAGGCGCTGTCCTTTTTTCAGGGCAAAGCAGCAGTTTAAACAATCTGTACCCCATGCATCACACATCTTATTTTCCTTCTGATATTTGATGCAACTGAATTGCCAGGCAATCTTCAACAGCAGCAGTGACCTTTCATATGCTTTTATGGATGGGCAAATTTAATTTCTAAAAATAGATTCAATTTCTGGAATATATATTTATTTCAACACACACTGTCTCTTCCCTCATTCTAAACTGTTTTGCAGAATTATGTCAAGCTTTAGCTGTAAAAATAAAGTGAAGCTTTTCTCCCTCACAAGAAGATGATGCTGCTATGAAATGGCGTAAATAAAATATGCATTATGATCAGTTGAGGAAGAACAAAATGTGTATAACCTATTACCACCAAACACAACATTCCCTCCAATGCTTTTCCCAAATAGATACTCTGTAAATCGTCACCTCTCAACTTTGACTTGAAAGGGCATCATTGACTTAAATAAAATGCATATAAATATTTTAGCTGCTAGAGTGAAAAGTGATTATTTATCATAACAATGACAGAATAAAAAGAACATTTTTTCAGTTATTTTGTTCCACACATCAGAGCCGACTGTGCCTGGCTGTTCTGCTGATCCTGCTATTAAGCCAGTTCCTCCTGTGACTGCATGGCATCAGGAGACAGAACATTAAGCTGCCACAGAAATGTCACAGAAGTGAAAAGGATAGCATTTGGGGCCACATGCATAAAACACACATATTATTTTTAAACAGGAATTAAGCCTTGTGGGGTCAAAAAATGAGTGCAAATACAACTCCCTTGAGCCACCTCATATTCAGTCTAGGTGCAAGGAACAGCAGAGCCCACGACACAGATGGGACACAGCCAGCAGGACCACAGTGACCTTGGCAAGCAGAAGCAATTTGCCACTGTAAAAGGGCTTTCACAGATTACTCATTTCAACTTTCCATCAAAACAGCTTCCAAAAGGCAGCCACAGAAATTCTACCTGCAGGACTGCAGCTACCCAACACACATGAACAGGAGCCAAGGTTCAGCCCATCCATCAATAACATTATCTACAGATTCATTCTGGGGCAAAAAAACCCAGCCACATTCATGAAGAAAGCAGAACAAAGTAACATTCAGTACTCTTCCAGCTCAATGTTATTCTACTAAATATGTTTTACCCTATAAAACTATATGCCACTAAATTCTTTTCTAGATGTTCTCTTGAGAGAGGTTTTTTTAACGCACCAACAGCGCATTTTTAGTAACTGTAAAGGGCATCTGTAGCTAAAGTAATTTGGTCTGATAATTAAATATAGTATTTCTACAAGTTTAAATACTTCAGCCTTACAAAGAATGACAGTGAGATGCTGGAAAACAACAAAAGGGCAAACAGGCAAGTGAGGAGGTTGAGCAGTGCTGAGTACTGCTCCTCACCACCTTGAAATCCTTTGGAAACCAGAGATCTCTCCAGCAACACAAATGCCCCTGGCAGCACCAAATGCACCTTATTTACCCCTCAGCATGAACACTGGGAAACCTCCATCCCCACTGCACAGCAAAAATGCTAATTTATCAGCATTTCCAGAAGTAACACATAATTAAAAATACAAAAAAAAACCAAAGGGGTAAAGGTGAGGTAATCATATGAAATTCTGCAATGGAAAATTAGGTTGGAAACTGCTGATTAGATGTCCCTGTGGCCAAAACTTTGGCTGTTGGGATAGAAGGCTCCCTTGGGTTGGTTTTAGGCAATTGCATAAACCAAATTTTATTAAAAAAAAACTCCAAAACCCTATGCTTCCTTTTAGTCATAGAAGAACTTACGCAGCTCCTGTGCATGTAGCTTAGATCAATCTCTCTGCTTATTATTAAATTTTAACAGCTTTCAAGAGCCTCCCCCAAAATGTCCTTTATTCTATGCCAGTCTACCAGCTATTAATAAACATGAAAACCCCAAAACAAACAAATCACTGAATTTCTAAAACCTTTACTGAATTAAAAAAAACATACCACAAAGTAAGATTTTGTATAGGAAGTTCCTAGATAACAGAAGTCTTACCACCGATGGATAAGAAAGGCACAATGGTTTAATTTTGCATGTGAGAAATGTACAGTAATTGCTGTGGGTTGCAGTTTCTGGAGGGCTTTTACAGCATAAGCTCCCTGTAACCTTGAAATATTATGAATGCAATAGCATTTCTCTGGTTCACAAAAAAGAAAAACAGAAGCAAAGCAACAGAGGTACTTAGGGACACGAAATGCAGTTCCTTCCTAAGGCTGAATAATGTTCAAAATATACACGTGCTGCATGAAAAAGTGATCTAGATTTTTCAAGCTCTACTGAGCTTTTAATAAGTATTTTCAAAATATTTTTTCCTCCAATAATGTGCCTTTAAAAGCAATTTGGAGAGCAACTTTTCGCTGTAAGTGGAAACTGCTGAGTCCAAGCCTGCATTTCCACCTGCAGCAGTTGATAAGATGGTAGATTTTGCTGCCTTGCCTCACATATTCCTGTAAGTGTTTCCATTAACTCTGCAAAACCATACTGTGAGCATTTTGATGTATGGCCCACATGCCTATCTGTGGGATGGAACCTGGATGGTCTGAGGGAGGTTTGCAAGCAGCCTTTTCTATAAAATCTGTGCAGCTGCTCCACCACTTTCATAACCCTCAGCTCAGCACTTCTGCTCTTCACTGATCAAACAGATCAGGGGAAAAACTTGCTTGAAACAATCCTTAGAAATACACCAGAATCCAATAAATATTTTTGCTTCAGGCAATACCACTTTGTTCAAACCACAATTTTTAGCCAGAATGCCAAAACCTACAGTATTGACCATGTTACGTTGTATCTTTTTTGCAAGATACAGCATCACTGACATCACTTGTACCAATATTCAGTACAGTAAAAAATTCTATTTTTATATTAACATTTTTAGCTTTGAAATACAAATTAACTACAGAAGAAAAATTAAGAAAATGGTGCAAATCAAAAGCCAGCATTCAAAAAAATGATCAAAGCAGTTTCAGATAATTTGAATCTGATCTGCAGTTTGTTCCCCTTCAATTTTTTGATTCACATCCCTTAAGCTGTATTATTTGTCAGAATTTGGGATGTGGAAATCTTCTGTAAGCTGTTTCAGAGCAGCTTTATCAGCCATGCAGCAAATACTGTGACAGTGTAGAAGCTTGCTTTTCTTGTGAGACCACTAAAGAAGGTCATTGAATAACTAATGGTCTATTACAAACAATGAAATAAGAGACTTCAGTGGGAAGCCTCCAGCTTTTAAAATAATAAATCAAATTAAGGATGTGGAAATTATGAAAAAAATTTTTTTTGAGAATGACATATTATAACTTGCAAGAAACATGCTTTCAACAGCTGATAATGACAGGAGTGTCACTAAAAGAGAACTCTGTGACAAAGTATTTCCCATTAAAACATAAGGAAACATGTAACTTGTGAATACACCACCACATACTTCACCTGTTTATGAATAATGGTATCATTCTGGCTGTTTTATTCTACATTTAAGCCTCACTGTCATGCTTTAAAGAGCTTCCTGTTACTTTCCCCTCTCTTTAACAATAGCAGCAATTTCTGAGGAGAGAGATTTCATCTTCTGCATGTCTGCTCATTGTTCCAAGGAGGAGCTCGTTAACCCCCTCACAATGGAGAATAAAATAGTGATGAAATTGCCAGAAACAGTTCCAACTACTTTCTCCCCTTCCTGAACTGAGCAAAAGGCATTTTATATTGTCTTACCTTTATGGTTTTGGTCTGGAGTCTGAGTCCATTTAAAGTGTTAATGGCTTTCTCTGCATCCTTTGGATCAATGTAGTTAACGAATCCATACCCTAAACTCTGCCCTGTTGAAACACAAGAAATAAAGAAAAAAGGACTCAGTATTTTTTAGCACAGGAACAACTTCCAAGAGTGGAAGCACAATTTTCTTACACTGTTTACTTCATCCCTGCTTTCTCACAATCTCTATGCTGTTTTTCACCATTTCTTTGTCTCCTTAATACAGGGGGAGCCATCCTAACTTTAAATTGCTGCTCTAAAGATCCTTCTGTAAGAACAAGAAGCAGCAACCCCTTGCCCTCCCTTCCCCCAGGAGTTAACTGAAAAGCACCTATGAGGCTTGACAGCAACAGAATTGTGTAATAGTTTTGTGCTGAGCTCCTAATAAATGCAACTGGCTGACCTGTTAGTAACGAGGCCACCTCTTAGAATTAAATAAACACACACATTTTGCTGCTGTTTATAAACAAGTCTTGAAGTATTTAAACCCCAAAATTAGGAAACCACATTTTTACACTTGAAGGAGCTGAGGAACAGAAAACCATCTTTACATCTTGTTTTACTGCTCAGTGAGCAGTCAGTAAATAGGAGAAGCCCAAATTGCAGCTGGGTGAGGGATTGCGTTAAAGCTCCTCTCAGAGTATCGGAGGGGACAGCAAACCCAAGCAGTGCCACAACTGCTGCTGTGCACAGGATGGCAGGAGCCCACTCGAGCAGCCAAAAGCATTTCAACAGCTTCTGTCTCTCCAGCCAGACCCGAGCGTGTTCACAGCAGGAACAGACCCAGGTCAGGACTGGGATAAGCGGCACGGGGCTGGAGAGGCCGTGCTGTTGGCTCTCCAGGGATCATGGACATGCACAGGGCTGTGGGGCTGCACAGGGCTGTGGGATCCCACTCCACAGCCATCTTTCCCCAGTTCCCAAGCAGTGGCTTTGCAGCACCAATTCTATTAATGCATCGTGACAGACAGCCGCTTCAGATCCCTTCCTTCCAGCATCCTACTGAACTTGTTTTGCATGTTTGGAAAACAAATCTTTATTTTTTGGGGTTTTTTTTTTGTTAAGGGACATGAACTTAGAAATACACACAGATAATCACATTTCAAGAATCAGCTAGCCCAAGCAGGCACAGGTGAATGGCCCTGTATTCCCACCATGCTCCTTCTCATACACCCTCCTGTGAATCTGGAGCACAGCAAACCAAAAATCCACCTCTCTCTCAGCCACTGATGTGCAGGGGATCAAAATGCTCCTGCTCACAGGCAGTGAGAAAGGAAACACGTGAAAATCCCTCCCAAGGAGAGGAGCAGCATTTGTGGAGATTTCTAGCCACAGGAGCAGCAAGCAGCAACCCAGCTCCTGCTCACCAGGAGGACGGGGAGGTTGGGAAGGCAGCTGCACACCAAGTGCCTTGATGTCCCCTGGAGGCACAGATCCTGCATCCCAGCACAAAGCTTTGTTTCTTTGTCTCCTGGACTACAAAAAAGCATCTGTGTGTTTCTCAAAGTCAGACGCCACCAAAAATACAGCGTTTGCTGTAACACAAATACAGGGAGCGCTTCTGTCTTACGAAATCAGATCAAAGCCCTAAAAGCTGCTAACTATGCAATGGAAGGCTTTAAAAATCCATGGAAACACTGCAGTTCATGCCTGAAATGCCCACATGCAGGCTTAAGGATAAGAAATGGCTATTTTAACATACAATACAGCGAGGGAGCAATTCCATCCCATCAATTTAACTTGAGAAAAAAAGTATAAAAATGTACTTGGTCTTCCTGGAGAGCTGAACTAATCTCAACAAAAATATTCTTACCCAAGTTACATGACATTAACCAAGAATGACCTTAAGTCTGGCTGAGCACAAAGCCTGGAGCAGAAATACTGTAAAGATACTTTCCCTGCCATTCCTTCCTCTGCTTGCCTACCTGAGGTATTTTATGCAGCCCCAATCCCTGTGCCTCCAAACATATCAAATCTTTGATATATTTAATCCTAAACAATCCTAGGGAGAGGAAAGCGATTATCTAGGAAACAAACATATTTTTCTGGGGGGAAGGAGACTCAAGGATCAGAGCTTGGATAACCTGTATTTGTATCATTTTCCTGTAAATCATCTCCTGACTTCAGAGGTACAAGGAAAGCAGGAGTAGGTGATGTGAGATTGGGATTTATGTCCTGTGTGTGATCCTGGGCTTCCATGTCCAGCCACTGCTATTCTCAAGGCACATGGACTGATTATATACTGTTTTTCAACAATCTCCCATAGAAACAAACATTCTCACTTCTGTAAATACTTGCACAAGAGACACCATGGACAGCAAACTCACAGACAGCACTACCAGTAGGAAAGGGAAATAAATGGCAATACAAGAAAATAATGAGATTACAATTACACAGAACTCTTTTCTGAGTCCCCCAGTAACATTCAAGTTATCTAAATATCATCATCTCTCATTCTCACTTCCAACTGGCAACGGATAAATATATTTTCTCCATGGTGAAGGACAACAAATACCTAAATGAATAAAGCTGGTCTTGTCTGTATCCAGAACTGCAGAACCTGGCTTAATGAAAACCATTACACTGTCATACCATTTTTCTTTCAAATAACAAGTTTGCAGAAACATGATTTCTTCTTCGTGTATATACTCCTGAACATCAGGAAATACATGAAATTTGTAACAGGATTGCAGGCCTGTTACTCAGAAGCATTTGGTTATGAATTCATATCCCACTGACTGGTATATTAGCTGTACTGTACTCTCACAAAAAAGGGTGAATGCTCAGAATTTTGAGCACTGAATTTCTGTTAATTCAATGAACATCCCTTTTATCTTAAAAACTCTCAAACTCCACACCCCTCACAGCCCATTGAAATCTCAGTGCAGTTGTTTCCATCAGCAAATTCCTTCTGCTGCTTCCTGGCATAGACCTCACTGTATCAGTGAAGCTGAAGAGCTTGCCATTAAGAATTTTCCACTTCCAAAGTGCATTTTGTTTGGTCACTTTGTATTTTCAATCATCTCTCCTAAATATTACCATGTGTTTGAATATTGACACAAACACCCCAGTCTCAAAAAATTGAAAAGAAAAACTCAAGATGAGGTTTTGTCTGTGAAAAGCTTTATGATGACTGTGGCAAAGATCAAAGTTTTACTGTGCTAAACATTTACAGTTAAGAAGCCAAAAAATTATACAGGCAGGTAAAAACGTGAGTTTCAAATTCCTCTCAAGAGCAAATACACCTAATGTCAGACAAAACCAGACTCTAGATATGAAAGAAATAAAAACTGTTACAGATGGAGAAAGGAAAGGATTTGTTCCAGAATACAGTAAACAGTATGAACTTGCCTATTTTCTTCATCATGTACTCTTAGTGCATGTACTCCAAAAGGGTAACACTTCTTTGGACACAATCTGGCAGCACAAAGCAAGCAGCTGGACCTCTCAGTGGGATCCCACACAGACACTGTAGTTCATTCCCATGCTACACTTCCCAGGAACAGCACCGTAAATAGTAAATATTTTCTGTGATTTGGAATCCAATAGTTCATCACATGCTGTGATTCAGTAGGTCAGGCAAGAGATATTTCTAGATGATCCTAAAACAACACCTTGTTATCTTGCTATTCCCACTGCTCTTTCCGAATGTTTTCTCTAGCAGCTGAAAATGTATAGTGGACCTCCCAGAATCTGGTAAGGAATAAATCTAAAAATGAGCAGTAACAGGGTCAGAAGTTATCAAGGACTTGACAGTCTCAAAAAAAACAGGCAAAGCCAAGCTCAAGCTGGTAATGTACATGTTTTGCATTTGAGAAAGTTCAATTTCAGAGCTGAAAGTTATGCTTAAAACAAGTCATGAGAAAGATAGAAAAAAAAATCAATTTACCGTATCATTTATCCATACATGCAAAAAACTCCAAGTGTTAAAAATGCAGTGTCAAAGGGACTTGTACCTTTCTTCACTTCCTCTGTAAGCCTGTCTGCTTTGGCCAATTCCATATTTATATTGAGGTAAACAAAAAACACTAAGTTAGAACAGATATGCCATAGAAAACACATTAAAAAAATGCATAAAACCCCTCTAGCTAGTAAAGGTTGGAACAACAAATTATTTTTTTTTTTTTAGGTTACAGAAAAAATCCCTTAACACTCAACCTGACTCACCAGGTGATACTAATAGTAACAGTGCAGAGACAACAGGCATTATGTACACCTGAAAAAATATGTGAAGATATAACTAGCAAACCAGGTGAATGCTGAACAGGAGCTCCTAAAATTACATATGTTTAAATGAAATGATCTGGATTACTTGCAGAGAACAGACTCCAAAAAAAGGGGGCTAATGGCTCTCTTTTGTCATCAATTAATTTCAGGAACCTGGAAGAAAAATGTTTGCACTGAAATTCAAGGAGGGAAGACTGGATGGAACAAGTACTCACAGGTTCAGCAGTCCAATGCCAAGCAAGGCAAAATTACAGAATATTCAATACTGGGCTTTAATAATAAAGAATTAGTGAGGGGTAATAAAATCAATGTCAATCAAATTAAGTCTATGGAAAATAGATTCTGTCAAACTAAACTGACAAGCTTCTTGATGAGATTACAAGTTTGACCTATAAATTTTAAGAATGCCATTAAATCAACATTGATATACTCAGTCTTCTTTAAAGGACTTGATTTGGTACTGCTTATTAATTGACTATAACAAAATTAACATGGCACACATTAAATGGATTAAAAAAGCCAACAGATCTTACTGGGAATTGTGAACAGGAAATCACAAGAAATATGCTTTCCTACAGGTCTGTCTCAGGAAACGGATCTTGGCCTTAAATTGTTTTATTTCCACCAGTAAGTGGAAAAAACCCAAACTCCTTGCTTGAGAAAATTGACTGTAGAAAGACAGGAAGAGGAGAGGATGAGTACAAAGAGGACAGAGGGAAGGTACAAAGCAATTTAAGTTCCTCAGTAAACCACAAATACACACATTTACACAGCACAAAGATTACACCTTGACAAACCAAGTTAACTGTGGCTTGCTTTAGGAACACTGAAATGAAAG